TAAGGCTTTAAAAGGTCATTATCCAGTCTCACACGAAGTTAAAAAAGTTTTAAGGGCAAAGCAATTTAGACATGATCTTAAATCAATAAGGAAGTCCTTTTCAAAGTTTTTGGCAGCTGTTTTTCTTCATCAGAGACATCCAACAACCTGGTTTGAAGGATCACAGTCAACCTTGGAGGGTGTGCAGCAGACCAGGCACTGGTTAAGGGGTTGCATACAATGTCTCATCATTCCTTACAACAGTCATGCCCATTTCAAGATGGAGAAACTGAGGTAGAGAGGTGCAGTAAATTCACCCCCTATGAATTCAACTCCTGAGCTCATGTTCTTAAGCACTCTGCTATATATGAACACCGTTAATATATGAAAAAACAGGCCAATGTCACTGTGTTAGTAGCATGCGCGCGCGCACACACACACACACATATCCTTTACCCCCATTGAGAAGTGGTAAAACACGTATAAACACAGACTCACACCTCTACTAATCCTTGGATGGGCAGGTTAAGAGTGGTTTAGTGATTTTTTTTTTACCCTGATAATGAAAAGCTGCATCAATACAATGGTATCCTATATAATAAAAGCCCAGCGACCAAAAGGCAGAACGACCAGAACAGCCGGTCGACCAGTTGCTATGATGTGCACTGACCAGCAGGGGGCAGACACTGAACGCAGGAGCTGCCCCCTGGTGGTCAGTGCGCTCCCACAGTGGAACGCAGCTCAGCTGACCAGGATAAATGGCCCTCCCACAGCAGGCCTATCCCCATAGGCCATGCCCCTCACTAGTGCACGATTCCGTGCACCGGGCCTCTAGTTTGCTAATGTCAAACTGTACATACAGATGCAATACCCTACCACTGAATAGAATTTTAAAATCAACTTCCTTTTCCTGCTGATTAGTTTAGTATGTGCTCAGGAGGCACAGAATGTAAATTTATAAGGGAGATAACCTACTTAAAATGCCTGCCCCACCCTCAAAAGATCTGTATACGTTTTAGAATATTACTCCCTAGTTAACGAGTAGGACTTTTACAACAGATTCAGGATTAAATGCTGGTGGCTCCTAACTAACAAAAGATAAAACCTCTAAGCCTCAGTTTCCCCAGCTGTAAGAAGGGGTGATACCACCCTCCACTGGGCACTTGTGAGGCTATTGATGGGGTATATAGTAAGCACTCAACAAACAGTTCTCTTCTTTCACCTGCTCTCCTTACAGGCCATACTTTATTAAAGTAAGTTCTTAGTAGAGGCTTGGCAAAGTGGAGTAAACAAAACAGGAGAGGGTCTTGATTAATCAGAGTAATAAATCAGTTCACCAATAACAAAGCTAACAAAAAATAGGCCAAGAAACCAATTCTATCCAACATTAGGGGGAATAAAATACAGTTACACTTTTTGAAAACTGGGTAACTCATTTATGTAAATAGTCCCACAAGCAAAATGTCCTATTACCAGGAGACAAGTAGTATTAATCTCCATAAGGGACCTAAGATAATTTCTTCCCCCAAACCAAACAACAGATTACAGGGGCCCCAGTCCCTATCACCACACCCTCACCACCTCACCTGATTAAGTAAAAACCTTACAAAATGCCACCCACAGTTCACCTACTAAGGAACTCTTCTCTCCAGCTGGGACCGCATAACTCAAAAAGCAGGTAACAACCCTGCCACTGGCGTAACTCAGAGAGGCCCAACACTAACACCAGGAGTGGCTTTAGAACCAGCACAAAAGAGGAAAATAAGTGCTAAAATAAGAATCAGAACTGCATTCAAGAAATTCCTAATACCCATTCTCTTATCAAAGTAGCTACACTTTTTTTGTTTACATAGCACCTGATAGTTTGCAAAGCTTTCATTTGGGAATACCTGAGATAAAACGGAGGCTCGGAGAAGACAAGTGACTCTCTCCCAGGAAAGCCAAGCTGCGTATTCGCTTGTCCCTTCCCAGGGGTTGGCAAGAGCCGCCCTCCCTTGCTGGTTTACCTGGTAGAACAGGTAAATCCTTCAGGAGCAAGTGACTCTCCATCTACTTGGCAAAACCACCAAGGATGTGTAATGACCATCTTCACCGTTTCCCAATTTAGTGCCAATGCCATATTACAAAGGAAAATGTCTAGTGGTCTGAAAGAATAGGACAGCTCTTCAATGCAGGCACTGTAGAAATCCTTTGCAGAGATAAGGACAAGTTGCTAGTCAAATTTGTATACTTGCTTTTTGACCTGAGGAATTGGTTTGGAGGCCTGCTCAGGGAAATAATGATTCCTCTGAAAAGGAGTCACAAAATAATTGATCACAGTAGCAAAGTAAAACAAAAGTCACTCCTAGGAAAGCTTAATAATATTTCTTACCTGCTAAGTGGGGGGGAAACATACAAGTAAACATTAATAAACACACTTACGATTAAAATCCACTTCTTGGTTGGTAGTGAAACTATAAATCTAAGACTCTCCCAATGTAAGCCAAAAGAAACTAGGCTTTAATTAAGCTATTTTTAAAGAAATATAAAATTCCCTAGTTTTTTAAAAAATATATATTTTTATTGATTTCAGAAAGAAAGAGGGATAGAAACATCAATGATGAGAATCACTGAACAGCTGCCTCCTGCACAACCCCCCTACTAGGGATCAAGCCCACAACCCAGGCATGTGCCCTTGACCGGAATTGAACCCAGGACCCTTCAATCCCCAGGCCAATGCTCTGTCCACTGAGCAAAACCAGCCAGGGCCCTAATTTTTTTAATGAAGACATTATTTAATGGCTATGAGATCCTTCCTAAAAGTTCACATGTGAAATGCCTGAAATGGAGCCTGACCTAGCTTCATTCACAACTCATGTTATATTTAATTTTCATCTCCATGGCATTTGAAAAAGAACCACCAACAAAATAGTTATAGAATTAGGATTTTAAAAAATGACAAAAAATAATTGGCACAGAATCCTACCCATTCACCTAAAGGTCAGATAATGCAATGTTTTATTTTTAAAAGTAACATGAACAAGTAAAAAGCCCAGTCTACCATATTGAAAATGTTGAATAATAAACCCGAATCTTATATAGGTGAAACTCTTTAAGAAACCAAGAAGAAAAAAATGGATGGACTTTTAACAAGTTTTCCCTAAACTATCAACACATTAAGAAAACCAAAATACCTAAATATAAAAAAAAATTTGTAGCTATGTAAATTTTTACTAGTATCTGACCTATCAGCACTAGGGAAAGAGTTTCTTTGCTTAAAGAAGAAACTGAATAGTCAGAGATAAAGGATTCCTAACTGCCTTTCCTACTCAAACTGTCTTTTTCTAAATTAAGGTAACTTATAAGAGTTTTCCTCCACTAGTTTTTCATTTACTTTTTAGAATGTTTGGTTCTCTCTCTTGTGCCAGTGCATCAGATAGGTTAGCATTTGCTATGGACTGAACTGTGTCCCTCCCCAAAATTTCTATGTTGATGCTCTAACCCCCAGTGTGACTGTATCTGGAGACAGAGTATTCAGGAGGCAGTTAAGGCCATAAGGAAGGGGCCTTCATTTATTAGATCTGTGGCCTTACAGAGAAAAAGAAATATTTCCCCCACTGCTGCCCCACCCATGTGAAACCCAGAGAGGAGGTAGGAAGAGCCCTCACCAGAAACCATCCTCCTGATCTTAGGCTTCCCAGAATTGTGTTAAGTCACCTGTCTATGGTATTTGTTATGGCAGCCGGAGTTAACAAATACAAGCACTCAAACCAACAGAACAAAAAGTAAGAACTTTTCTGCTGTCCCAACTTTCGAATGAAATTCTTACAAAGAATTCCCGCAAAATGTGCTTATTCCACCCTTCTCCCAGCACTACTGGGTACTAAACCGGCTAACCAACATCTAGCTACTAACCAGCTAAACCAAAACTGAAGCAAACTGCTTCCAGGAAGAAGGCAAATAAAATTTAGAGTTTGACCCACTTACAAGTGCTTAGGAAAAATACGCAAACCTTTTTCAATCAAGAAAAGAAATGTTAAAATAAATTAAAAAACCAGGCTTTAGCCTGGCCAGCATGGCTCAGTGTTTGAGCACTGACCTATGAACCAATCGATTCCTGGTCAGGGCACATGCCCAGGTTGCGGGCTTGATCCCCAGTGGAGGTGTGCAGGAGGCAGCTGATTAATGATTCTCATCATTGATGTTTCTATCTCCCTCTCCCTCTCCCTTCCTGTCTGAAATCAATAAAAATATATTTAAAAACAAAACCAGGCTTCAGATTAAAAAAAAGAAACACAAAGCCAGGCTTTAGCTCCTGAAAAAGAATAAGAAAGTTTAAGAAGAAACACCTATAACCCACAACTTCCTGAAAGCAACATGAACCCAACGTCATGACAATTCTCATAGTGGCTTTGGGCGTGTCACCTAACCCTTCTATTACTCAGTTTTCCATGATATGTTAGCACATGACTGCTTATTAATTAGCACTTTAAAGAGTTACCGGATTAAAGATGATGGGTCATTCATGATTATAAGACTTGTGATTATTAGATTTACTTTTAAAGACATAATGCATTAGATACACTACCTTGGTAATACAAAATTTGGGGGTAAAAAAAAAACAACCTCACTTTATCTCAAAAGATGGCTGATTGCTCTAGTGGAGTTGCTCAAGACAGTCAAGAACAAGTGGTCTTGGAATTGGCATCAAAGAAATTAAGTCTTCACATTCTTCAATTCATCAACCACCAAGAAGACCCAAACTACTCCCATAATATGAAACTCTATTCTACTCTAGATGTGTTCAACTCACAAAAATTCATCTAACTAAATCACTATTAAAATTCAGCAAATTATAAATACTTTAAAAGATGCCTATAATTGCACTAGTTCTCATAGCACATAGACAAGTTTAGGACAGGCCATTTTCATCCATACGCTGATAAAGTTAAAAATGTTTTAATGTGTGTTTTTTTTGCGTTGCCATTTTTTCCCTGCAGCTATCCTTTCAAATGATACTGGGGTAGCCACTGAAAGGATACACTCTGTCATTGCTGCAACATCCAGTTTATCAATATCAGGTGAGCCAGGGCAACACTTCTTGAATTCTTTTCGAAGATCAAAAAAGGAATAGAAGCATTCAGGCAATAATACATTCTGAGGAAGGACAAGGTATACATTGTTAACTAGATGAATTTAGTTTACTGTTTCCCTAATAACTATAAATCTAAGGATTGAGTGTAAATATATATTTTACCACAATTTTTTTAAATGGAATGTTAGGGTGCTTTTATTTTCTGTTATAGTATTGTATCTTATATACAAGTCTCATGGGAAAAATTCATCTTAGTTTAAGGCAATGGATTATAATGCTTATGTTCCATTATTCATTCCATTCAAAACACTTCTAATGCTGTAATACATTTGGGCTGTTGTATTTTTATATAAAATACAAAATATAAATTCTGTTTGATAAAACTACACTCTTTTGCAACTTGAAATCATTTTAATCCACTTGTATTTTCAGCAGCAAACCAGCCTTCAGTTCTCATAAAAATGCATATGTTCACAATGTATACCTAAACATAGGATTCAGTTAGAAAACGTAGTTTTAAATACTAGGTTCTAATAATGCATATTTTCTGTACCAAAATCACATTAAGATAGTGAATTCCTGATTACCTGAAAAGAATTATTTTTGTGCCAAATTACAGTGCCACATTAGTTTTCCTGACCATTATTCTGGCTATACCTGAGAAGTCAAATTAGACTTAAAGGAAAAGATACCATAAATCTCCAAGACAACGGAGATATAGTTACCTGCTATTCTTAAGTACCACTCTTAGGATTATCATACAAAGCAACTGTCTGGGCAAATATTACACTATTGTTTCTTCTCTTCCCTACCCCCCCCCTCCCCCGCCACCCCAGGGGACCCTCATTGAATAACTTTTGAAGATTTTTTAAAACTGAATTTAGATTTTTCTTAAAATTTTGAAAACCTCTCATTGTGTTTACTTATTGGGAATTTCTCATTTGTAAATTAGAAAATCAAGGAAATAAAGACTTTTTAATGTTTGTAACCCCTAACATTTATGCCATAATGAATGTCTCCATATAACTTTCCTTTTTTGGATTCTATTACATGTAACCTGCTCATACTATATTTGAAATAGGGTTATCACTGTATTATGGCCAGTTTTCAAAATAGTTACCAAAAGAATCATGAATCCTCACAATTGCTTACAAAAATGCTCACTTAAAAGCTATTATTAATGACAATAACGCCCATATTTAACATAAAATATCGGTTTAAATAGTTGCATCTATTTTATTTAGTACTTACAGAAGATATTCATATTATTAAATTATAAAGTAGGCTAAAAGGTTTGTGCAGTGTGAATGCTCCTTGTAAAAATGAAGCTTTTTTTCTTTACAAAAATCTGAAAGAATATATCCAGATATGTTCATATTAGAGAAAAATACTTAAAATATATTCTGAGTGGCAGGATTATTTACTTTTCTGTTTTACCATTTTCTCTACTTTTCCTTAACGAATGGAATAACGTTCATTATGATACTAAATTGTTTTATTATACTAAATTAATTGTTTCTGTTTTCTTTCATCAAAATCCTAATACAAGTGACTCAGGAAAATGTCTGTTTTTCTCTGGAGGTTTTCCCATATCCAAGACAGCCTATCTAAGATAAGAAAACCAGCTGTTTCTCTTCAGCCCAACAGGGAAAGGATTAAGCTTTATCCTACCTCATATGAGTTTCGGGGGTGGGGGAGTGGGGGGGGGTGTGGAATCCTCAAATATGTCTATCTCTGGATCAAGGGTATAGCAATTGGTCTAGCATTTAATTAACAAAAAATACTTCCCCTTCTAATCCAATAATTACTAAGGTTGCTACAAAGGGAGTGCTTTCCTCAATCCTCAAGACATAGGAACTTGAGTTTCTCCTTCAAACTTTAAAAAATGATCACTGTACATGTATTTCTTCCCTTTTCCCTACTGGAGTAAAAAGAAAGATCTGCATTGACTACTCAGTTGCAACATCAACTGTCAGTCTAAACCTTTCATTGCAAGAATCGCCCCGTACAGTTTCCCTAAAAACATATTGCTTCCATCCTTTCAAGTTAGAGCTCAAGCTAACTAAGTTGCTCAGATGAACTATATTAGCAAAGATTGGCTACGCTGGGTCGGCTATCTATGCTCAAACCCTCATTCTTCCCGGGGAGAGAAACCACATTATATCTATAGTAAGATTGTGCTTTTTGCACCCCATACTCTCTTCCATTATCAGAAAGATAAGCAAAGGTGGAAAGATGGGGCTGACCCTATTATTTTGATACAGGATCCAATCAGTTTTGAACATTTACTTTAAGTCAGAAAAGCTCACTATACCACAATTAACGTTTTACTTTTGAAGTGCAAGCTTCTGAATGAAATTATGAGAAATATAACTTAAAAAGTTTAATTGGACTTTTTTTCCTTTGCCCCTTCCTTCCTAAGATAAAGCAATTTTCATGTAGATGGGAATATTACAGAGTATTAAAATACAGTTCTCTCTTACTTGTAGTTACTTTTAAGTGTCAAAAGTGTAGCTAATATGCATCAGAAAAGGGAGACTGTCAAGCATTTCAGAAACTTAACATAAACAAAACTAAAACTTTTATTAAGTCACCAAACTTTATCTCTAAAAATTACTGCGATCTCAAACATCTCTATGAAAGTGCTGTGAATTTTGTATTGTGGTAAAATATACTTCACCCAGATATGTAACATTTTATCAATTGCAACAATGACTCCCCATATGCATCTCTTCAAAATCGAGAAAACTGGGTAAACCATTAAAAACAACAACAAAACCTCCAGTCACCAGCCAGCACTCTTACCTTCTTGGAAGCCTCCGGATGCAGGATTTGCCTGACATGAAGCTGCCCATCAGTACAGAGACAGAAAGAGGTTCCTACCCCAATATTTAGTTCATTGCTCACTGACTGGTTAAACTGAAAAGAACAAGACACATGATGCAATTGATGCAGGATTTACAAACTCTGCAAAGTGGCCCCACTTGGCGATAACCAGAGAAAATCGAACTGCCTGCTGCGGAAAGGGACACCGCCTGGGGTCGGGGGCGGGGGGGGGGGGCGCAACTTTGGGAAGACCAGGTTCCCACAAACTGCCCAGCTTCCTTAAATAGGAACGCTCTCCAATCAACCTCACGGAGGGAGAATTCAGTACATGCACCCTACCATCCGTCCGTACCCCCTTTCTGTGTCTGCGAAAAAGCCAAGACTTTTAAATCAGAGGTCTCGTTTCATCAGCAGATTGCCTTCAGATTACATCATTCCCTGGTGTTCCTTTTTTTTTTTTTTAATGGTTGGCTGTTCTAGGCTTAAGGAAGATGCCAGTTGGGCAATGTGGGTGGATGGCTACACAGACCTCTGGAAAGTCGGGTAACACGCTTCCTGAAACACGCCTCAGAAATGATGACTTTCGCCTTTTATCATGGGCAACTCGCCAGGAGAGCATCGGACCCGCACCTGGGCACCGGGGTTCAGCCCCGCCTCCCAACCCCTAGCAGGTCAGGACCCCGCAGCAGCCGGGGGTTAGGTCAAGAAGGGGACCGATTCCACCTCTTTTCGGTGGCCCAAGAGGCACCCCCGCACGTCCGGGCCCGCCAACCCTCCCCGGCGCGGCGCTCCGACCAAGGCCACCGCAGCAGCAATCATGGAACCGGAATCGAGCCCTTGGGAGCTCAGAATCCCGCACCCACGCGTGGGGGCGGGCCCCGGGTCGACACCACAGCGCCCCCTGACCCCGGGCTGAGCCGCAGGCCCACACCCCTGCAGCGGGCAGGGACGTCGGGGGTCAGGGCCGGGGAGGTAGGGGCGCTAGGATTCAAACTCGTTCATCCCCCGATGGGTAAAACCCGGCCGATTCTCGGGCCCAGCACACGACTCGGGAAGCAGCTGGAAAGCCAGCGAGTTCTGGCCCAAGACCCCGAAGGGTCCGGGAGAAGAGGAACA